GCTGTTGTTAGGTGCTGTGGAGTCAGCTCTGCACATGCATCTACACATGTATACACACTGCTGTTGTTAGGTGCCATGGAGAGTCAGCTCTGCACATGCATCTACACGCGTATACACACCGCTGTTGTTAGGTGCCGTGGAGTCAGCTCCCACTCACAGAGACCCCGTGCAGAACAGAACAAAATGCTGCCCGGTCGTCTGCCAGCCTCACAGCTGTTCTCACCTGTGAGTCCACTATTGCAGCCACTGTACCGATCCATCTCACTGAGAGTATTTATTCCTTGTTTTCACTTTTGCCAAGTCCTTCTCCAGGGACTGGTCTCTGCTCTAACATGTCCTAAGTATGTGAAACAAACTCTCATCATCTTCACTTACACCCTCCTGCTGTTGTTGTTAAGTGGCGCCGAGTCGGTTCTGACTCATAGCGACCCTGTATATGTTACCCAAGGAGCGGCTGGTGAGCTTGAACCACGGACCTTGCAGTTCAAACCGACCTTTCCGTCCAGTGCTTAGCCCACAGTACCACAGTGGACTCCACTCGCACCTTCTCAATTGTTAAATTAATTCACTGAGGCTGGGCATTGTCATGAGAAAGTTCACTTCCACTGAAAGCAGGTCAGACAAGAGTTCAATATTCATGATCTATAAAAGGGTACCTACAATGCAACAAGAAAAAGTCATAAAAGAACATTAACGGCAAAGAACACAATAGCTATTTCTAAGAACAATCTCCTCGTGGCTCTCCAGCTCACTGACTCATTGTATGTGTGGTCACTGGTGCTGACCCCTGGCTCCCGGTGACCACAATGCCGCCTGGCCCTGCTCATCCCCAGGACTGAGATCTGCTGGCTGGTTTTCATGGGTTGATTGCCAGGTCTTTCTTCCTAGTCTTTCTGAGTGTGTAAGCTCTGCTGAGACCGTCCAGTGATCACTGTGGCAGCAGGGCGTGAGCATGGGATTTCTAAGCAGAGCCCCTTTGGGGACAGTCGACAGTTTCTGCAGCATCGGCTGCTGTTCCCCGGCCACACAGGAATCCTTTTCTCCCTGAACTCCCATTTCTGGAGTAAGCACTCATCCACATTTGGAGGCAGGCTTCTGGGTGGACAGCACACAGGGGCATGTGTGCCTGGGTATGTGCCTGAGCCCCGTGTCCCCACCCACCCACCCGCAGGTCTACGACGATGGGAGGTACGTGTACCTGGTGATGGAGTTGATGCGGGGCGGGGAGCTTCTGGACCGGATTCTGCGGCAGCGGTGTTTCTCGGAACGTGAGGCCAGTGACGTGCTGTGCACCATCACCAAGACCATGGATTACCTGCACTCACAGGGGGTACGCTGACCTCCGAACACACGCTAGTCAGTAGAGGCTTTACAGCCTGTGAGCTGGGAACTGAGCTGCTCCATGGGTCCCCACTGCCTGCCTGAGTCGTCATGAGGGTTTACAGTCACTCTTACACGTGGGTGTCTATGGGAGGTAGGGAAAGAAATTACATTTGGTGGACCAGTTTGCAGGTAGAAATACTTTAGTCTTGGTGATGGGAAGTGTAGACTTTCCATGACCTGCCAGCTGTAAAACTGCTTCCTAACTGATACGAAGGAATCCAGCAGAGAAGAGGACAGTTAGGGACGTCTTTAGTGTTCCAAGTGCTCTTCCTATCTCTGAGCCTGACTCTGCAGAGACCCGTTTTACAGGTGTGGGGACTAGTGCACAGGAAGGTGAGGGGTCTTGGTTTTTCGCTTCACTGTTGCGTGTTGCAGAGCCATTTGCGTTGTTCACAAATCGAAGGTCTTTAGCAACTCTGTCCTACAGTGCTGTTGGTGTCAGTTTCCCAACAACGTGTGCTGTCTTCATGTCTCTCAGTCACATCTGGTCTTTCTCACACGCTTGCAGTTTGTTCTTGTGGTCACACCCTGAGTGAACTACAACGTCAGTTTTCTATGCACTGGGAAAGCGCAGCATTCGTGTGACATGCTTGAGTGACATCTTCGCTTGATTGTGGGTGTGTGCAACGCAGCCTGCCTCTTCTCTGAGATGTGCTGTAAGAAAAGGCAGGTGCAGGATCCAAGCCAAGCAGTGGGGTTCTTCACCACAGACCCACATCGTCTCACCCCCTCCTCCCCCTCTGTCTTGTCCTGACAATGCCCGATGCATTGTCGTCTTATCTGAGCAGAATACTCTTCCCAAACCATCCGGGGTCCTCTCAGAGGGGTCCCCTGGTGGGCTGAGAGGATGACACATTTCCAGGTTCTCCCAGAGCAGACAACCTCAGGGGCAGCCCTTTGTAGGATGGTTTTTGCATCTTTGCAAAATACTCGAGGAAGAGAATGGAACTGAAAGTAAAGGTTCCCTGGGCACAGGGCCTCTGCAGTAGTCAGGCTGGGGGGCCCGAGGCTGGGCTTGTGGCTCGCTGTGTGTCCTGTCTTTGGAACTTACTAGAAAGCAGAGACGTGGCTTTATGAAGGTACACTGCGTGTCATGACCGCGTTCCTCTATCCCCTCCAGAGGGAAGCACAGTCTGCCCTGCAGAGCCACTTGCCTTGGCAGGTCTCTGACCCCACATGTATTTGGACACTGGTCCTCAAGGAGCCCCCTTACCACCCTCGTGCCTCCAGCACACATGCACATCCCTGACAACACATGCAGCCAAGTGATCTAGTGCAGCCATCTAATGCCAGTACTCTGCACGGGGTGCTCAGCAAGCTCAGCGCTTCACTGAATGGACATCGTGTTACAGGCCTTAGGATCCCAGCCATCTGGACTTGCCACATGGTTTTTCCATGCAGGGGCTTCAGTCAGCCTGTCCCTTATCTTGTTCTTCTTGTTGTTGTGAAGTGCCATCGAGTCGGTTCCGACTCATAGTGACCCTGTACAGGGTTTCCAAGGCTGTAAATCTTTACAGGGGTAGAAAGCCTCATCTTTCTTCTACGGAGCAGCTGGTAGTTTCAAACTGCTGACCTTGTGGTTCACAGCCCCATTCATAACCACTACGCTACCAGAGCTCCTTAGACGGGTGCTTATTGATGTCTTAGCTCAGACATCCATCCACAGCACAGTGCCCATGCTGGGTCCTCGGGTGTGAGCGCCAGTGTGGGGGAAAGAGCCGGAGAAAAAGACAGCATCCTGGGCCAGATTTGCTCAAAATCGCCGATCCCAAAACCAGCCGTGCCTTTCTGCAAGTGTCCTCCCGTCCCGCTCCTCTGTGGCCCTCTGTCCCTATTAGTGATGGCTGTCCTTCTCTTCCAGGTGGTGCACAGAGACCTGAAACCCAGTAACATCCTGTACATGGACAAGTCAGGAAACCCTGAGTCCATCCGCATCTGTGACTTCGGATTTGCTAAGCAGCTGCGTGCTGAAAATGGTCTGCTGATGACACCCTGCTACACAGCCAACTTTGTTGCCCCTGAGGTGGGAAACCTTCAGCCCGGGGGGACGGAGTAGACCCATCAGGCCCCTAGAGAGCTCTGACTTCTCCTTCCTCCTTAAGTAGCAGGGAGTTTGGTCTGTCAGCGGAGGTGCACCGCAGACTTACCTGGCCCTGCTCCTCACAGTTCCAGCTGCTCCGTTGAGTTCAGCAGCCGAGGGCAAGGCCCTTTCTCTGTGATTACACTGAACACAACTGTGGGACCGTCCTCTTGTAACATACATGATCCTGAGATAGGGTCATGCTTTTCTGTCTGACACTGAAATAGTCCCTGTCCTCTCGGGGGTCTCTTGTGGTGTGGTGGCTGATAGAGGGCAACTCAGTGAGTCAGGACACTGCCCCCCACCCCTCCCACCTGCCCTGCTCTGGTCCTCTGTAAGGACATCCTCACCTCTTGTCTGTTCCACCCTTCCAGGTCCTGAAGCGGCAAGGCTACGACGCAGCGTGCGATGTGTGGAGTCTGGGGATCTTGCTGTACACCATGCTGGCCGGGTAAGGGACCGTCCACTGGGGGGCAGCCATCATTGAGACCACGCCACGCTGGCTGGGTGTATACACCACCACGCTGGCCGGGGAGGGAGCCAGCCACAGTGTACACCATGCTGGCCGGGTAAGGAACCGTCCACTGGGGGGCAGCCATCAGCAGCCATCATTGAGATCACGCCACGTTGGCCGGGTGTATACACCACCACGCTGGCCGGGGAGGGAGCCAGCCACAGTGTGCACCATGCTGGCCGGGTAAGGGACCGGCCACTGGGAGGGGCAGCCATCACTGAAACCACGCCACGCTGGCCGTGTGTATACACCACCACGCTGGCCAGGGAGAGAGCCAGCCACAGTGTACACCATGCTTGCTGGGTAAGGGACCAGTCACTAGGAGGCAGCCATCAGTGACCACGCCATGCTGGCCAGGTGATGGGCTGATCACTCGGGGCTCCATAAGTGTATACACCACACAGGCCAGTGATGGTCCAGCACTGAGACTCCATTAGTGGCCGGCTCCTGGCAGTCTGCTGCATGGGACTCTGCCTGGTGTGGCCATAAGCAAGCACCGTGCACATGGAATCACCCGCACATGCAAGCACCGTGCACATGGAATCACCCGCAGCTCTTGAGCGAGTTCTTTCAAGCCTCCTCAGTCCCTTCAGCACAACCAGAAGACAAGGTGGAGAAGAGGCGTTAGAGGATCGTGCACACACATTGGGCCTCGGAGCCTGGTGACAGACAGCATGCCATTTCTGCCTGGAACTGAGCCACTCTCTGGTCAAGGGCTCCTCCGTTCCTTAGAGACGTGGTCTCGAGCCAGAAGGCATCCACGAAACTTCGGGTCAAGCAGTGACTTTGAAGAGACCAGCAGTCCGTGACTCTGTGTGTATCAATACTGTGTCATAAAGCTGCTGGGACCAAGCACCAGAAAGTGGCTAGCTTCCCACAACAGCTCTGGGGGCTGGCTCAGATCTCTGCTTGTCCCTCCAGCTCCTGGTGACCCCAGGTTCCTCGACTTGTAACTCCATCCCTCCAATCGCAGCCTCTGTCCTCACCTTTGTGACTGTCTTCCTTTGTGTGTCCGGGTCTCCTCTCCTGTGAATAAAGATGCCATTCAGATGGGATTAGAACCCACCCTACACCTGTGTGACTGCTTGTCAACCTCAATAATGACATCATCAAAGCCCCTGCGTCCACAGACATCATGTTCACAGGCACAGCGCATAAGGCACTGTAACCCACAACCTTGGCGTTATGAACAGAGGACTGGATGTGACATTGGATGTCTCATTTGCAGTGTTAATGCCGTCATTCACTAGCTCTGAATTCTGGGCCAGCCCCTTGACCTTCACGGAGTGTGGCACAAGGTTCCTTCCACCTGTGAAGGTCTGTGGCCCAGAGAGCCAGAGCTTCCCAGTGGTTTTGAGTTCATCAAACTCTTGAGAAGAGGCAAACAAGCACCCCAGACCATCAGTCCTACAGTAGATGGACACCAAGAGTCATGAGATGGGCTCACTTCTCACACAGCCTTCATGAGGGAGTTCATGAGCATGGTCTGAGTGTCCACAGTTCGAGGAGAGCAGCTTGTGGACCTGGGCCATATCTGGGCACTGCATTCCTAAGACAGGAGCACAGCAGCTCCTGCCCCTCAGGAGGTCTTAGGTCACAATATGCCTGACATGTCACCAGGCTCACAGACTGCCACTCAAGG